CACCTTCTGACAGGCGAGGAAGCAGCCTGAGGAGGAAGCAGATGCTGGCACTCTGCTCCTTGTACAGCCTGCAGAACCATGAGCCAAATAAACTTCTTAGAAACTCCACACCACAGCTCCAGTATCCCCTTATAGCAGCACAAATGGACTAAGACAGGGCCTTTGCAGAATTCTGAGACAGGGTAGCAGAAGTTACAGGGAGCTGGATTTCCAGCCAGTAAACAGTTATCTTTCTAAGGAAATATCCTAAAGCTGTAGTCTGCCAATCTCTAAAATGGGTGCTCAAGCAGAGGCTGTAGAAGGAATTTCTATGCTGAATGGGAGGTGGACAGGTAACACCTACCACCTGCGTTTTCATTCTGGAATTCTATTCTTTATATAACTATGTCCATCCCTACACTTAAGAAATGTATACATTTTAAAATAAAGTAACCCCGCGGGGCCATGGAAATGAGTGCTTGATAGTGCAGTACAAACGGTATTCAGAAGCACTGAGGAGAGTTAAAAGGAAGGAAAGCTCTTGAGAGGGTAACGAGTTCAGCTAGAGGGGGTGTCCCTGCTAGGGTGTTACTTATCTCATGCTTTTTTTTTTTTTTTTTTGAGACAGAGTCTCACTGTGTTGCCCTGGCTAGAGTGAGTGCCTCACAGCAACCTCACACTCCTGGGCTCAAGTGATCCTACTGCCTCAGCCTCCCACGTAGCTGGGACTACAGGCATGCGCCACCATGCCCGGCTAATTTTTTCTATATATTTTTAGTTGTCCAGATAATTTCTTTCTATTTTTTTAGTAGAGACGGGGTCTCGCTCTTGCTCAGGCTGGTCTCGAACTCCTGAGCTCAAACAATCCGCCCGCCTTGGCCTCCCAGAGTGCTAGGATTACAGGCGTGAGCCACCGCGCCCAGCCTTATCCCAGGCTTTTAAAGCATATCGTTTCTGATATTCTGCTAGGCTGTGAGAGGCTGAAGGGTGTGTCTTACCTATAACCGTATCCCAAGGCTTGGCACAGTACCTGGCGTGGCCAAAGTGTCAACGAATACCTGTCGAAGGAACAAATTGAATGAAGGAATGATGATCTAAGAAAGGATTAAAGGAAGTGCACAAATACTTGGATTTGATTTAGGCCAAGAGAACATGAAATGTCCCTTAGGACAGGGACGGTAGGTGAAAGTGTGGTTGTGGGGACTTGGGGTGGGAAGGTTACCTGGAGGTCATGAAACACAGCGCCGAACCAGGAATAAAGGGGCTGTGTAAGAAAGAAGAGAGAGCCACATGGTAGAATTAGGTAAAACCACTTGGTTTACCACCAGGGTTAGATCCAACAGATGTTAGGAAGACATTTGAGTCTCCCGAGCAGTGACCAATGCTATGAGACTGGAATTTTAGACCCCAGTCTCCGATCTAGGCACATCCGTGGAAGTGTGTCTTAAATGGCATTGTTGCCCATTGGGTGTATAGAGGCAGAAAAACAGCTTGGGAGCCGCTAGGTGAAAGTATTTCACCAATCCAGTCTTAAACAATCCTGCTTGGAGAAAAGCGACTCCAGAATCACACACCGATTTCCCTCAAGCCCAATCACCAATCCCAAAATACTCATAAGTGGAGGGGAGAGCCCACCTTCCCCAGTTAACTCCCACTCACGTGAAGATCCGATTTCACCCCTTGGGGATTCCTCTCCAGATGTGGCTATGTGAAGCGATATGAGTAGGCTGTGACAGGTGGACTAAAGAAATAAAACTTTATTTCCTCTTTATTCCTACTTGGTAGCAAGGGGGAAAAGAAACCTTCTAATTGGTCTGTTCAAAAAAACCTCTCTTTCAAGTACTTTTTAAACCAGGTTGGGTTTTAAGCTCAGGCAATTCTGAGTTCCCCCTTGTCCTGGAGGAACCCAAGTTCTAGAGGAGTGTGCGTGTCATTCGGATCTGTAGGAAGGAAAGCTGGGCTCTTGTTCTGGCGTCCTCTAGAGTCTGCCTCACCCTGCCTAGTCTCTGGGGATCCGGGGTTGTTATTCGCTGGCATGTGGCAGGTCCCACCTGGTCCTTTCGAGCACCACGCTGACAGCAGTGTAGAAGTCTGTGTGCTCAGCCAAAGGCCCTCACACTCTGCAGCCTCCCCATCCCCATTCCAGGCTTCTTCCAAGTCACAGGACCTCTTGGCACTTCCATACTGGTTTTCCCAGTCACGGGCACAGACTGCAGAACAGGAGATTTGGAGGCACCACCTCAGAACCTCCAGCCTCGGCCATCTCCAAGCTGCCACCCGGATGGCGCCTGTGCTGCTCCGGTTCCCAGTTCCGTGCTGAAAGAAGGGCTTCTACTGCAATCCTTGAGAAGCAGTGAGCAAGACGCCCTTCCCCGGGCGTTCTGGACATCTCCACTGCCCCTCAGCCCCTCGCCCACCAGGCTCTTCCCAAAAGAACATGCACGAGTGTGTTTAGGGATGGGTGTAGACGATGACAGTATGACTTACTGTCCTTCGATTTCTTTTTCCCCCAGGATCCTCTTCCCAAACACCAAGAGAGCTTTCCTTGGGTTGCATTTGCCCTGCCATTTCCTGGGGCAAAAATAATCTGTTTTACCACCTAGTCTCAGTGGCCAAGGGCTGCAGGAAAAACCCCAAATACACAATATATGAAAATTATTTTCTTTGTCTACTCCATTCAACTGAAACTTTGAGGGAGAGACTTTTCACTGTTTGAGGATGTTCCTAACTGGAAATATTGACTATGTAGGAAAACAGCTCTTAGGAGACCTTACTGAGTCAGTAAGGAAGCATCAGTTTCAGAGACAAACACTAGTAGACATTTAATGCAAAACAGGATCAGATGATGGAACAGAATAGAAAGTCCACAATAGCCACACACACATACACATAAAAACTAATTTTTGACAAACTTACAAAGGTAATTCAGTGAAGAAAGAAGAGTCTTTTCAAAACTGGCACAGACACAATTGGATAATCATATGGGGGTAGTGGAGATGGGAATATCTTCAATCCATCCCTGTGAGCGGCAGAATAATGCCCTCCCCAAGATGTCCACACTGTCATCCCCCCAAATCCGTGAATATGTTAAGAGAGTAAAAAGATAAGCCATGGACTATGAAAAAATGTTTTCAAATCATATACCCGATAAAAGATTTTTCTCTGGAATACATAAAGAACTCTCAAAACCCAATAACACCCCAACTAAGTTCTCAGGCAAATATAAAGGCCTCAGGAAAACATTTATAAACATATAAGAACCCAAGAAATAAAGTTCCTTAAAAATGTAAAACTGACCCTAAGTCCAGCCAATAAAGATATAAATCAAAACAAATAAACAAACAACACCCCTCAGTAGCAGGAAAATAAATGCAAACAAAAAGTGGGCAAAAGATTTGAATAGACACTTTACCAAAGAAGATGTATGGGTGGCAAATAAATACAGGAAATGATGCTCAAAATCATTCATCATGGAAAAATGAAAATTATAACCACAAGGAGATACCACTACACAAGTGTTAGCAAAGATAAGGAGCAACTGAACTCTCACACACCGCTGTGGGGAATGCAAAGTGGTATAGCCACTTTGGAAAACAGTTTGGTAGTTTCCTAAAACGTTATACCACATACCCTATATCTACCCTACGATCCAGACATTCTACTCCTAGATATGTACCCAAAAGAAATGAAAACATACATCCATGCCAAGATTTGCAAATAAATGGATGTCCATAGCAGCTTTATTTGTAACAGCCCCAAACTGGAAGCAACTGAAAGAAGGGAATGGATCAACAAACCATTGAGTATCTATGCAACTAAATAACTACCCGCATCTAAACAGAATGCACTGTTGATAGCACAACAAGAGATGAACCTCAAAATAATTAGTCTATGTGAAAGAAGCCAGACCAAAAAAAAAGTACACACCATATGATTCAATGTATATCAAATTCAAGAAAATGCACATTAATGCACTATAGTGACAAAAAGAAGATAGTGCCTGGGGAACGGCAGCTGGGGAGAAGCAGGAAGCACGGATTATTAAGGAGCAAGAGGAACTTTTTGAGGGTGATGAAGGTTTACTATTTTTATTGTGATGATGGTTTATGCTGTACACATATGCCCGAATGTATCAAATTAGCCAGTTTAAATATGTGTGGTTTATTGTATGACATTTATACCTCGATAAAGCCGTTTTAAAAATACAATAAGAGGAAAATTTTTAAACATATACAAAGCAGGATGTTTAAAATATATTGAATATATAAAACTGTGGTGCTAACAAATTGTGTTGGCCAAGAAGCACCAGACCAGGGTAAGGTGGGTTTCCCTGGCTGCCTGCAAAGAGATGCCGGTGGCCCGGGAGCAGAACTGTGGGCTGGTGCGGCCGAGCCTGGCAGTCGACAGGAAAGCCAGAGTTGGGGAGGGTGCTTCGTCCTCACTCTCCCACGCCTGTCCCGGGAGTTATCGAGGCGCCAAGTGGATCCCCAACAGAAAGCAAGGATAGCCTGCTTTGTACTCTACTTCCAAAGACGAGCGAGCGGTTTGTTTTGCGTTTGAGGGGCGGGCTTGGGGTCTTTTTTTTGTTTCTGTGTGTTTTTTTGGTTTTGTGTTTGTGTTTGATTGGGACGTGTAACCCACACGTAAGCTGCGACGTCCAATCAAGAATAAAAATACCCCCTTGCACTCAGTGATCAGAAACCACCGCGACACAATCAGTAGGGGAAATGACACCAGGGGAAACTCAGAGCCTCACATCCCGACGTCGGCGGGAGGCCCCCACAGCGCGTCCCCGCCCCGGGTGCCTTCTCCTTCCGGGAAGACACCTCCCGCGCGGGAGGCGGGGTCGGCCTTGGGCCCCGCCCATGGCTCGCGCCCTCCCCACTCCGCAGCGCGCAGCCCCGGCGGGGGCGCTTTACGGCCGGAGGGGAGGGCGGGTCCCAGGCCGGAGATAGGAGGCCCGGCTGAGGGGCGGGGGGAGACGCTTTTGCGGCAGGACGTAAGTGACGGCGAAGGCGGTGCGACAGCAGCTGGAGGGCAGAGGAGGCGGGTTCGTGTTTTCCGGGCCGAACCGGGCTACGAGGGGCGCGGGGCCTGGGCCAAGGCGGTGGCGGAAGGCCCGCCGTGACAGCATGGGTGAAGGGGAGCGGGGCGGGCGAGCCGTGGGCTGCTTTGGGCGGGGTAGGTTCGCGGGGCTGGCGGGCCGGAGCCCCAGGTCCAGGTCGGGGATCTGACCCATGGTTGGTGTTCCCCGAACCCGCAGCGCGGCCCGTCCTGTCCCCGCCATGAGGCCGCAGCAGGCGCCGGTGTCCGGGAAGGTGTTCATTCAGCGAGACTACAGCAGTGGCACCCGCTGCCAGTTCCAGACCAAGTTCCCCGCGGAGCTGGAGAACCGGGTACGCGGCTTGGCTCCCCGACCTGCCCGGGAGCGAGGGGGAGACTCTCCAAGGCTGGGACGGGGTGTGGGCCGACACCAGGCCTGAGTGGCCAGCGGTTCTGGCGAGGGCCAGGCACATTCGAGGCCTTGGAGAAGTGTAGAAGGAGGGTCGCTGAGCAAGACTTGGTGTTTGGAGGAGGAAGAGTAAGGCCCAGCCTGGGGTGTGATGACCTTACAGAACTTTATGTTGCTCGGTGCCGGGAATCTATACCCAGCAGTCTTATTCCCCTGCTGCCCCCGAATCCCCACCCCGGGTTATTGACAATAATGACGAGGAGCTCATTCCTGAGGCCCCAGGCCACCTCACTCAGCGGGTTGTAAGCAATATTCTCCTACGTGTCCATGCAGGAGAAATCATCATCATTTTCGTGACCGGCGTTTATGGTCAGCGCCGGTCGCACTGTTTGGCCGAAAGGGTTTATTAAGTGCTGTGCCGGGCAGTGCAGACAGGCCTTCTTGGAACCTAAAAAGTGTAGAGCATTAGATGGACCTGGACAGGAAAATATCCTAGAACAAGGCCGTAAACTTGTCACTCTCACTGGGAGTCGCCTCTTTTGCATGTCAGAACTGTTATCAGGATACAGGTCCTTTGGGCACCCTTGCATGCAGAAATGGAAGAATAGGATTTGTTTCCCCTTCTGACTTACCAAAACAAAAAATCATTGTATCTTATTGTAAAGGTACAATGGAATGTATTTGTGTGGTTTATTTTGGTGCCCATATGTGTATACCAGAGATTCTTTTGATCTTGAGCCATGTTACTTAGATTCTGTTTCCTGTTCAGAGGTCAATTTCTGGTTAGCTGGAGCAGGTTTTGTGGCTCTTTATTCTTCCACAGGGAGGCTGAAGGCCTGAGAGGTGATTAGGCATTGCGTGGGTGTGGGACTAAGAAATGTTGGTCATGGAATAAGTAGGTGTAGATGAGTCTGTGCTAGAGAAATGTGTAGCAGTCATTTAGTCAGTTTGTATCAAGGTGGGTTGCTCTACCTGATTGCAGAGGTTGGGAAATCAACAATGATCAATTATAGTTTCCGTCAGCTTGGTTTATAACTGTGGAGAGGTTAGTGGCCCAAATATGTTTCTGCAAATTAAAGATCAGACATACCTTAAAAAGCTGGCGTGTAAATTAGCTTGTTGTTGAAATGCTGCAATGTGTTGTCAACAGTGTTATGAGTAAACTCTTTGTGACAGTAGATGGACATTTACACAGTAGTTTGAAGAGGTAGAAATTGAGCAAGTTGCTAATTGGCTAAAGCTACTGAATGTTGTTTTTAAAATAATTTAACATCACAGTTAACTTGTTTTACATGATAGCACTTAGGTGAAATCTATTAAATGTTTTATTTTTAAGCCTCTTATGGAAACTATGACTTACACAATTTATGTGCTTTAAAAATCAGAATGTAAACTATTCTTTTTCACCTCACTTACTTGGATGTTACAAGATTCCTTTGTTTATAGGTTTTAAAGTCAAACTTCCACCTCATATATTTGAGCTAAATATATGTGTGCAGAATCAGACAGTAGCCTTTCACTGTGTGTGGTAGAGCCTTTAATTTTATAATCTAAATACAGAAGCGTGATGTAGTCACAATACTCCACTGATTTTTACAGGAAATTGGTGTTTCTAAATTTTGGAGTCCTTTTACTTCTTTGATTTCTTTTACCCCAGAACTGCTTGTGGTACTGAGTACTACACGGAATGTTACATGGTGCTATTCACTTGTGCCTTTGAATTTTTTTTTCTCTTTAAATGTTTGGGTTAAAACACTAGCTTATACTATAAACCACTTTGATTTTTTTTTCTATGTTGAGATTAAATTTAAATTACATGTTTAAATTTTCCTTGCTTTGTTTGATGGAAAATTGAAAGATTTCTTTCTTTCCTTCTCTACTACTTACCCTAGAAATTTTCTGATTGCTCTGCCACTGAGACTGATTTTCCTTTTGTGAGAACATCGCACTTGGCAACTTAATAGAGGAAGAAACCAATATACAAATGTTATGTATTACTTTAAAGCATTTTAAAAAATACACATTTGTGCCCTTTAATTTGGAAGCGAGGACATGTTCTGTTCACAAGTTTACTTTCTCCACTGCCTTTTAGAATGTAATGCTTTGATGCTTAAGTGCTTTGGTGTCAGAACACTCTTTAAAGGAAGCTTCATTCTCATTTTAGCCAAAATGCAAGAATCTTAGTCACCCTTGGTCTGGGTAGAAGACAAATGAGTGAACTATAATTGAGGCATTTGTTCCCCTACGCACCTTTAAAACTATGTTTCTCCAATCTGGTCAGTAGCAATTACCTTTGACTTGCCACCCTGGGTCAGTGATCACGTAAAGCTTCAGCACCATGCTTTCTACCATGTAGTTCAACAAGAAACAGAAATTCTGGGAAAATGAGCCTGATTCCTCTTTCCATTCTGACTTTGAACATTTATGGATCCAAATTTGTATTTGGCTCCAACTTTACATATCTCTAAATTTTGGTGTAGCTCTTATATCAGTGTCTAAGAGAGAACACTGGTGGCAGCCGTTGTTTATAGTTCCTAAAGGCAGTGAGAGAAAAATGCCTAATTTGTTCTGTTGAGCCCTTGCGAGTGAAGTTTGGCATTTCTATCTCATGCTTTTTACCTTTTATTTCCCTTTTTTAATAACCTCTCAAAAACTTCTTGACACTTTTTTTAACCTTTTATTCCTTCTTTATTATTATTAATAACCTTTTTTTTTTAAATACATTCTTGACCTTGGATTTTTTTTTTTAACTGTCTGTTGATTTGCCTCCATCCTGTAAGGCATTGCAATCTCGGAATAACTCTTAAAAGTTAGTGTTTCTGGTCTGAACAGTAATTCTAATCTGAAAGAAATAAGATGTTTCTGGGTTGGATCCCATGGTTTTGAATCATACTGTATATAAAGAAATGTGAATAATTCAAAGGACTTATTAGATCATAACATAGGCAAATCAATTATTTAGACTTTTATAGACTTATCAGTGGACAAACCGAAGGCATTAACATAGACATAATTAGGTGAATATAACAGTTTACCATTAATATTCACTCACTGGAGCTCTTCTCCTACATCTGTTTTCTGGGAATGAGCACTGTGACTTAGGTACCCAGATGGCCGGGCTTGACACCACATCTTTTTTTTTTTTTTTTTTTTTGAGACAGAGTCTCACTGTGTTGCCCGGGCTAGAGTGCCGTGGCGTCAGCCTAGCTCACAGCAACCTCACACTCCTGGGCTCAAACGATCCTCCTGCCTCAACCTCCCGAGTAGCTGGGACTACAGGCATGTGCCACCATGCCCAGCTAATTTTTTCTATATATATTTTTAGCTGTCCAATTAATTTCTTTCTATTTTTGGTAGAGACGGGGTCTCGCTCTTGCTCAGGCTGGTCTCGAACTCCTGAGCTCAAACGATCCGCCCGCCTCGGCCTCCCAGAGTGCTAGGATTACAGGCGTGAGCCACTGCGCCCGGCCTTGACACCACATCTTTAAGGACCAGGTCACTGAGGGAATGCTGCCCTGCTCCTAGCACCACCTCCACGCACCTGGCCCTTGTCCCAAACTCTAATGTTCTGGGAAATTTGAAGTAATTCCTTTTGAAGAACAGGTAGAGCTGCCACCACTTTAAAGGTTACATTAAATTTTTTCATGTCACTCGCTTATTGACTCCTCACAACTTTTCCACACAAAGAACAAAACAATGATTACAACTTCTTCTAACCTGAGGGATTTGATTTTTTGTGTGTTTTTTTTTACTTTCTTTTTTCTCTTTTAATTTTTTTTTTTACTTCAGCATATTATGGGGGTTCAAATGTTTAGGTTACGTATATTGCCTTTGCCCCACCTGAGTCAGAGCTTCAAGCGTGTCCATCCCCCAGACGTTGCGCACCACACCCGTTAGGTATGAATATGCCCATCCCCTCCTTCCCACTCCCATCTGCCTGACACCCGATGAATGTTATCACTATATGTGCACTTAAGTGTTGATCAGTTAAAACCAGTTTGATGGTGAGTACATGTGGTGCTTGTTTTTCCATTCTTGTGATACTTCACTTAGTAGAATGGGTTCCAGCTTTATCCAGGATGATAGAAGAGGTGCTAGATCGCCGTCATTTCTTGTGGCTGAGTACAACTCCATGGTATACATATACCACATTTTATTAATCCACTCATGTATTGATGGACACTTAGGTTGTTTCCACATGTTTGCAATTGTGGATTGTGCTGCTATAAACATTCTAGTGCAGATGTCTTTTTTATAGAATGTCTTTTGTTCCTTCAGGTAGACCCAGTAATGGGATTGCTGGATCAAATGGTAGTTCCACTTGTAGCTCTTTGAGGTATCTCCATATTACTTTCCACAGAGGTTGTACTAGTTAATCTGAGGGATTTTAATAACTTAAGGGTGATCATAAATTGTTTTACACTTTAAAAAATTATGTTCTTGGGAATGTTTTGTCTCATATTGTGTATTGGGGTTCTTGATTTTTTTTTTCTGAGTCTATTTCTAATATGTATTAAGAAAAACTTCATAAAAGAGAGAACTCATCAGTAAGTAGTTTTAGAAGTAAGGGAAGCCTTATGTGAGAGAAGGCCTAGAGTGAGGACAGATAAAAGTGTCAGTATTGGATGAAATACTCGCCCAATGGGCCTTTAAAGCCCTAGGATGAAGTAATGAAGTTTGAAATCTGCAAAGTACTATCAGAAGAACAAAGTCAAAGCAGATGATTAGAGTGGAAAAATGGATCACAGTACTACAGGTTGAGTATTTCTTATCCAAAATGCATGGGACCAGAAGGGTTTCAGATTTCAAATGGTTTTCAGGTTTTGGAATATTTGCATATATATGATGAGCTATGTTGGGAATGGGACCCGAATCTAAACACAAAATTGTTTCGTGTACGCCTTATACACATAACCTGAAGGTAATTTTATACAGTATTTTTAATAATTTTGTGCATGGGCTACACAGTGGCTCACGCCTGTCATTCCAGCACTTTGGGAGGCTAATGGAGGGAGGATCGCTTGAGCCCAGGAGTTTGAGACTAGCCGGGGCAACATATCAAGACCTTGTGTCTGCAAAAAAATCTTAAAAATTAGCTGGGCATTGTGGCTCATGCCTGTAGTTCCAGCTACTCAGGAGGCTGAGGCAGAAGGATTGCTTGAGTCCAGAACTCTAGCCTGGGTGACAGAGCAAGACTCTGTCTCTTAAAAAATAAATATTAATAATTTTATGCATGAAACAAAGGGTTTTTTTGTACATTGAACCGTTTTATCCCCTTCGTAGGCATGCTTGCATGGGGAAATCTGGGTGTGCGTGGGAAAGATATGGCAGCTGAAGGGTGCTGGGAGGGCCTTGGGTACGCTGAATGAACTGTGTGTTGTGCGCCTGTGTTTTGACTGTGACTGACACAGGAGGTCAGGTGTTGAATTTTCCACTTGTGGTGTCATGTTGGCACTCAAAACGTTTCAGATTTTTGGAGCATTTTTTATTTTGGATTTTCAGATTAGGGACACTCAACCTGTAGTATTATTAGTGTAAATGTAAGATAAGGGTGTCACCAAATAGAAAGAGGCTAATAGGAATGACGTGGTACAAAGAACTGTGTGTTTGAGATTTTACCTTGTTCAGTGTGAGCTATTAGTAACAAAATAGTTACTTGAAAAGAGATAACTGGAGTAAACAGAATACAGAACTTGCCGGTTTTTAATCCTTTTGCTTAAAATGTCTTTTGTTTCCTTTATGCCTGGTAAATTCCAGTGTTTAGGTACTCGATTTAATATTACCTGCTCTCCCCAGATAAAGGGAACTTCTCCTTCCTTTTGGGCCTTCGCTGTACTTTATACATGCCTCTGTTAGAGTGCTGTCAGCTCGTTGCATTTTTGTGGTTGTGGATCTGTCTTGCTTGCATAACTGTAAACTCTGAAGGTTTCGAGACAACGCCTTATTCATCTTTCTCTAAGGCCTGTCATAGTATCTAATAGTAGGTGCTCAGTAAATGTGAATATAAGTAAATGAAAAGAGAAAAAGAATGTATAATTAAGTTTACTCGAAATTCAGTAGAAAGAATAATGTACCATATTAAGCCTTGAAGATATCCAATGCCTGTAAAAGGGATAAAATTAAACCCTAAGCAGTTTCAGTAACTTAGTTCCGATTTAATCACCTAAAAAATTGTTTGACAATTATTAGATAAGAATTTTGATGAAATAGCAAGATAAGTTAGTGATATCAAGCATTAATAAGTTGCTGATCTTTTTCCTCAAAATTTATTTTTAAATTCTTCCTTCTCTACAGATTGATAGGCAGCAATTTGAAGAAACAGTTCGAACTCTAAATAACCTTTATGCAGAAGCTGAGAAGCTTGGGGGCCAATCCTATCTTGAAGGCTGTTTGGCTTGTTTAACAGCATATACCATTTTCTTATGCATGGAAACTCATTATGAGAAGGTAAGACTACGTTTGTTTTCACAAAATCTCTTAAAATCATAAAGAGATGATTACATGGTGACAACTGCCATAAAATTTTTAGGGGCAAATAATAATAATTCAAATTTTGTTGCTTCTATGTCCAGAGCACATAGGAAAATCCTGAGTCTTTCAGAAACAGGTCAAAATTGGTATGTCCATTCGCAGTTGACATGTTGATGTTCAGATTGGCCTAGACTTAAGAAGAATGTAGAAAAATCTATATGTTCTCATTCTGCCCAGCTTTCTGAGAATCTTGTGGCTTTATTTCCCAATTTTCTATCTTCAGTCTTATCTGCCCACCTAAGTTCCTGTCTTCTCTTCTCCCAAAGACTGAAATATCTTCAATTTTCCCATTCATTAACTTTTCCTGGTTTACTCTGCCGCTATTCTAGGTTGTGCCCTTACCATCTCTCTCCGAGACTGTTAGTCTGACTAATCTCCTCTCTTCCCTCCTTTTGCTTTTCCAAGCTGTCCGCTGCTGTCTTAAGAAAACACAGCCTTACTTCCCCTGCTAAGTCACAGACCTTCCCTTTCTCTTCTTTGTGTCTCTACAACATTTTAGTTGTATCTGTTCTCTGGCACTTCTCACTCTCTACTTTGGGATGAGACAGTTCATGTTCTTGTCTTATTTGCCCTTCGAGTGTGTATTTTCCTTGTGGACAATGCCTTAACCATTTTTGTATCCCTCTTAATGCCTAACACCATGCCTTGGGTCTGTTAGGCACTCGTTGACTGTGTATTAAATGCCTGTGTGTTAAATTTCAGTCTTTGGGAACTGAATAACTTTTCCCTCTTCATCCCCCACTCCTGAAGATGGTATTGAAAAGGCAGGCGTGCTATTAAACAAAACGGGGAGGTGGGAGGTTTGACTTCTGGACATCTTAAGTTGAGAAGCCAGCAACTCTTGGGTCTAGCAGGCAGCTGGAAAGAGAAGGTACTTAAGTACTTAATCACAGTAAACCCCTCATATATCACTAAATTCTGATAATGTGTAGAAAATGTAATGCTGTGAGAATATATTATACCCCACCTGATAGAAATGTCTTGCACTCCATGCAGTAGAGAGTGGGTATGGTTGCAGCTAAGATATTTTGATATGTTGGCTAAAAATGCTGCTGTATTTTACATTAGCATCTTGACATGTATTCTCTTATTATTATAATTCTATCTACTGTAAAAGGGTATATTTAAGTATAGTAGCTTATATCCTTCTGCGTATCACATAGAGAAGCAGCTTTCATTCCCGTGTGACTTTCAGAATAAGTTACCGAGGATCAGTATCAGCCTTCAGTATGTGTTCAGTCTTCGTATCTTCTCTCTAATGTGCTTGGTGAGGGAAGGGTCAGGGGATTCATTCATTCGATAAATGTTTATTGAAAGCCTACTGTGTGCTAAGCAGTGTGCTGGGACATAACTGAGCAAGGCAAACATGGTTGCTGACCTGGTGGAATTTATAATTTAGTGGTAACAATGGATAAGAACAAGGAAACAAATAAAGCCAACAAAGTTATGCATTGTGATAAGCACCTGGAAGGAAACAAACTGGCCTATGATAGAAAATAGGCAGGACCTAATTTAGACTATGTGGTAGGAAGAGTCTGCCTCTGAGTCGGGACATTTAGGCTGCTACTTGAAGGATGAAAATCCTGGGGCATTGAGGCTGAGAGGTGAACATACACAAAGGCCCAGAGAGCTCACCTGGTCTCGGGAACTGAGAGAACGCCGTTGGGCAGGAGAGAGGAGGAGCCCTGACCGGCTAGAGGTGAGTTTGGAGAACTAAGCAGGAGCCATATCATACAGGAGTATGTACTCCATGGAAAGAAGTTTACATTTAATTTTTAGTGCAGTGGAAAGATACTCAAGGTTTTAAGCAGGAGAGTGATATGATCAGATTTTTGTTTTAAAGAGATCTCTTTGCTCTGTGGAAAAAGGCATAACAAGTTAGGAAGCTCCACCAAATTGCAGACGAAAGATGGTGTAGCTTGGACCAGGAACGGAGCTGTGGAGACAGAGGGAGGGATGTGTTGATATTAGGAGCTGAACGTAGGGGGAGGGGTAAGGCTGAATTTGTGTGGATAGGAACGTGGTCATCCAGGATGGTCATTTAAAGACGTGTATAATATTAATAATTTAAGGTAAAAATACATCCTCCAGCGTATTTTTTTAGTGTTTGGTGGAGTATTAGAGTCTTGAATTGTCATTTCACTATACTTTTTAAATTTGTTGATAAAATTTTAATTAACTTTTATTTGCCCATATATATTTGCTGAAATAGATACAACTACTGATGTCTATTGTAAAAAGAAATTAATTGGTAATTGGGTGCCTGCCAGGTCATATACTAATTATGGGCTCTTGGACAAATTAATCTCTCTGAGTTCTCTCAACTGTGAAATGGATTTTAGAATTAATAAATTGCCTCACATATGTAAATGCTTCATAAACAGTGTTTTCTTGAGATAGGTTTTAAATGATGTGAAGTAATGTTTTAACTTGCATTTATAGATAATATATAAGGTACTACGTTATAGGCCTAATCAAAGTTGCTTTCATTTTTGTTTTTAATTTTTACGGGCAGACCCCCGGACCAGAATAGGTTCAGAGAGACTCCCTTTTTCTTTTTATAAAGCAAGTAAAAGCCAAATAAAATTAATCAGGAAACCAAGACTTAAGGCATGGCCACATTTTTTAAATAGGTGATATTTTTTAAAGAAACCGAACATGGATAACTAGATCATGCAAAATTAATAACTGGAATGGTCATAATTATGATATAATGTACTACACTTTTAAAAGAAAACTTTTTAAATGTGTATTTGTATTTTTGATAAAACAATAAAAATGTAAGGGTAACTGCCCTCTCCTTTCCCCAGTTTGTTCCCTAGGAATTTCTGTGCTATTATTTTCTACTCATGAAAGGACAGGGTTGAGTTATTTAGTCTCTTGTTTTAAACACTAAAATCCCTAGTCTACGAACAGTAAGCCAAATGTAATAGTGCTTATACTTTGTTATGTGTGTTAAATTTTTCGAAATTGTAAATAGGCCTTTTAAAACTCACTAGAACAATCATGCATTTTTCTCTATAATGTGCTATTTATTGATTTAATTAAAATGAAGATAAAGGCTTCAGTGTTATTTCTCTATTGTTGCTACCCATTATAATTAGGGAGCAAATGGGGTTGTAGAAGGTTCTCCTCTCAGTAGCTCTCTGCCTTGTTCATCAACTAGAAAACATCCCTTCTGCCTATGTGCTGTAATTTCTAAAACCAACACAGGAGAGAACCTGGGTATGTTCTGAAATACTAAGGTCCTGGTGTTCTCACTTAGCCTCAATCGGGCTATTTTCCTTGAAGGTCCCCAGTGTACTGTTGAGAACAGTAGTTTCTCCTGAGGTTTGATTGTGTTTGATTTTGTCAGTATTATACAAATTGAGGTTTTGTTGAAGGTTTGAGAATAACAGACGAATTTGATAAGTATTATGGCTTTTTTTGACATCAATTTACCAAAACTAAAGTATGAATAAAATGTCAACATAAGGTTTCTTAGGGTAAGATTGGTGCATTGTCCTGTCTGGGATTGCAATGTGAGTTTACTCATATTAATGCTTTTCTATTATTAAAGAGACTAGGAGTTTAAAAACATCTTGTTGAGGACAGTGTTGCCTTGACCAAAACAGCATAAGAGGATTTGGAGCTTATTCAAAAAGAAAACTAATTGTTTTCTTTCTGAACTGATATCCAAGTGCACATGAGTGTTACTAAAGTTTAAATAAAAGCCTTGCAAAACAAAGTGATGTTTGAATCAAATACAGGAATGCTATTTCTTTACTAGTAACCTGTATGTACCCAAGGAGAAAAGGAGGAAAGCTGTTCTGAAGGAATCCTTTCTTTGAAACCAGCCATGCGGGCACTTTTCTGAGTGCCTCCCGTAGTATTATGGACTGGGTCTGAGTGTCCAGTTTCCCATTCTGGCAGGTGAGCTGCGAAGGAAATTGGAGAGAAGAAGATTGAGAGTCCTGAGTTGGGCACCTTTATGGGCTACTTCCTCTTATTCATTATTTTAGGATGATTGACAAACTCTAATATTATGTAAAGATAGTGCCTAAGGATTTTTGTTGTTGTTCATAAAGACCAAGCACAGCTCAAATTCTTTGAGAGCTGAAAATAAGAGAATGCTACACACATTGCTTCAGGTAATTAGGTGAGAAAACAAATCTCTTCTTTAGAAATAGTATTCTTAATTTACCATGTAAAGAACCATACAGATTGCTCTTTCAGTAATACCATGCTCTCTTTTAAAAAGCACAAAACGTGAGATTTTATTAGCCCCAAAGATGTAACCTGAATAAACTATTTAAATTATTCTCCTTCAATAAGAAAATTCTTTATACAAACCATACAGAGTTTTAAACTCTAAATCAGTTTATATACCAAAGCATCTAAATTGTGACATCGTAATTTGTTAGTTTGGCCTGGTACATTATACACCCATACTAAATCATTGTTTAATTTCCAACTTTATTTTCATATAGTTCTTTTTTCCCTTTATGTTGTGATCACATTTGTGACTTTATCACTTGCTAATAGTGTGAATTTGAGGAAATATATAGTAATTTAAAGAGCTGGATCAAAGCCTCTTTGAACATTAGAGCCAGAAAGAGGTTATGATGACTTTGAGCCTGAAATAAAACATGTAACTCTTTGATTTTAGGTATAGCTTTTAAGATTTATTTTCCTCTAGCTTATCTGTCTCAGAATTGCCCTTATTAAAGCTGGAGATTTGGCAATTTCCAGAAGTTCCTTTGTATCCTATCTGGTTTTTGTCTGCGTTTGCTTTGACTTTTACAAGCTTAATACTAAACTTATAAATTGAGGTTTCTGTCTAGGAAACAGCAAACCTCAGAATAACACTACATGCAGTCATGGGGAAGATATAAGACACTTGCAGTCATCAGAAACTCCACGACTGCTAGTGCCCACGTGCTTTACAAAGGAAATAAACTTTACAGTTTTAAAATGACTGGGCTACCTTTTGTTATAGACCACCTTGTATCTTTACTAAAATTGATGAAAATGTACAAAGGAGAGAAAAAATGGTTCCTTAAGTTTTGTAGAAGAGAAGGCCAAGAACTATCCTTGATTTTAGAAGATGTCACAGGAATAACACTTTATGACTAGGGCGAGGGAGGCACAACTAGCTGTTGTGTGTGTAATCGTCTGTGTGCGTCTCTACATCCAGGATTGAGGTGACGGGGAGGTAAGCAGGGGGCTGGCCCTCGTCGTGCGTTTGTGTGCACTTGGGTGAAGCTGCCCCTGACTGGGAGAGGCTGCCACGCTGTGCTGCGTGTCGTGTGCAGCTGGTGTGAGCAGAGTGATCCAAGCTGTACTCTGCCGTATGAATATCCACATGACTTGCCTTGAAAACTAATTCCACTGCCTGAATACATTGAGATCTAGCTGACACCTAAAGGGAAATCTGGTAAAATTTGTAAAAATCTGTGGTGTTTTTTTCTGTCAGGTTCTGAAGAAAGTCTCCAAATACATTCAAGAGCAGAATGAGAAGATATATGCTCCTCAAGGCCTCCTCCTGACAGATCCTATTGAGAGAGGACTTCGAGTTGTATCTTTTTAGTCCAGGTCATAAGGTCTAAATATTTATAAGAGAAAATGTTTGTTACATTTGGCACTGGCTAGAGAGAACGTACTCCCATCTCTTGTATTTGCCTTAGGAAGTTACTATGTGAACCACACGCTTACTGTAAGCCTCCTGTCGCCAGCATTTTTTCTCAGAGCACGTCTCTCCTTCCTTTGCACTGTGCACGTCTCTGTGGACTGTGTGGTATTCTGCTTACCAGCTCTCGGTGGCTCTGAGGGCATCTTGTAACAATAATGAGGGTGGCAGGAGTAATGCATTTCAGCTGCAGAAACTCTGCATCCAAAGCCCCTTTGAAATGCGTGAACTCATAATGTTGGTGAGACTTGTCCTCCAAATGAAGTGCAGTTCCTTGGGTTCATCCGAGGAGTTGGAATAAGTTACAGCTGCCAGATGTATAATTTCATTACCTTTAACATATTGTGCATATATTTTGGAGGCGGTGGGCTTTGAAAATCACTAAGTGAATCTGGTAAATAAAATTGCAAAAACTAATTTAGCTTGATAACTGGATAATGGGTAAATAAATTTTTTTAAAAAACCTAGGTCACATAATCCTAGGCCTTCCAGTTGATAATGATTGCAGCAGTTTTATTATACTCTGCAGCAATGGTTCTTAAACTTTCCGGGGTCATGAACCCTGTCCCGAGAAAAAGATTTCATATAATTTCAGGGCATTTTTGAATCCCTGAATTCATTACCTGCATGGATTCTCAGTCAAGAACCCCCTGGTTCTACAAATAAAGCATCCTTTTCAGATTTTTTTTTTCCAAAAAATAAATCATCCATGTTGGGAAGGAACTACATGTGGAATACTATTAATAGAAGTAATTACATTTCTTAAAATTTTCACCAAGGAGAAAGCATCATGTTTAATAGGAAAAAGTTTTAATAATTTAAACAGAAGCAAAGCAGTTTGAAAACAGAGTTTGTACGGATCATACATGCCATCTTGCCAAGTCCCTTTTATGTGTTATATTCTGTAGTGTGTTTTCTTAACAGCCATGCTGTTTAGATTGAAATTACCATTTATGAAGACAGAGGCATAAGCAGTGGAAGATAAACCATAAAATTAAAGGTAAATATGAAATTATACAGTTTATATGCAGTTTTTGTAAATTTGGAGGATGCATGAATTGTTTTCGATGCATGGTAAATAAATCAGTAAATCATGCAGTTAAATAGTGGTATATTGACTGTATTAGCTTAAGCTAATCACCATATTAGCTTGATATTTAAAATGTGTATTTAACCCAAGTTCTGTTTGGTAATACAGAATTTAATCCTGCTTCTCCCCTCCTATTGTTTCCAGACTGTTTTTGTTGTTACTTTGTTTTTGTGGTAGGGAGGTAAAGGTAGGTGATATTTGCCTTGCTTTAATATTTTGAAACTATTCTAAGCATTTAAATAGTTGGGTTTTGCATATAAGAATCAGTTCAGAAACTTACCTACCTATATGACAAATGACTTCAGTAAGCAAAGGAACATTCCAGAGGGGGGCGGGGAGATTCTGAATATTTCATTTGTTACGTTTATTAAGTGGCTTCAGAGCCCTGTAGAAGAAAACTTACCTACTGGGTAGAACTGTAAATTTTATTCTTTTGTTTAAAATGTTAAAGTTCTTGTATATCCAAATAATATCCTTTAATAGGTATGAAACTAATTAATACTAATAAGAATCTATCGGCAGAATCGTGGTGAAGCCGTAAGTACATTAGCGTAGCCTTCTAAGTGACAGAAAACAGCACCTCACTGTTGCGTGCTCATCCCACAGGTTCTGCTGCTGCACTTTTCTAATCTATTTTGCCTGCAGGTGTCTATCTCTAATTAACAGACAACACAGACATAGAATGTACCAGAGCGGACATACTTCTTTCTAGGGCAAAATTAATAATAATAGCTACCATTTTGAGGGTACCTACTATGTGCTAGGTAATGTACAAATGTACTTCTAAGTCTCAAAGGAACCCTGCAAAGTATTTTCCCTGTTTCATAGATGAGCAAACCAAGGTACAAGGAGATTAAATGTTTCTCAAGGTCACGCAGTTAACGAGTGTTGGGATAGGAACTCAATTCTGATTGCCCATAAAACCCGCTGGTGTTTTACACCATATTTCCTCTCAGTACTTACAGCAGCGGGAACATGGAAAAGGAAAGAGTTCCTCAGATTATTCTGGATGTTTATGCCCTTCTGCTCTTTTTCAATACTTTTTAAAAGAATACATTCTGTCTGCTCCTGTACCACTTATTCAATCCTACAAGCCGTCCGACACTCAAAGCTGCCTTCTTTAGCACTAGTGTGTCACCTGAACTCTTGAAAGCCAAAGATATAAATAATGACATCCTCTGCCATATGTTTTATTTCTGTAAAAGGCTTTGTTTTGGAACACTTAGTGTTACTTGTTCATACACTTTCTCATGCACAATTTCCAAACTGATACTTTTCAAATGAGCAACCAGGAACCTTATGTGTGGTTTTTGTTACATGCCATTGGAATAAGTTTGTTTTATCAATTGCAGCTGCATTGACTTGGCACGACCCATTTGTCATGACTCATTTTGCAGCTATTACAGTGTAACAGTATGTCCTCTGAGGTGATGTGGAGTGTGAGGTTTTGAACAATTACAGAGGCAAATCTATCAATATTCAAGCAACTGCGAAAGTTTGAAATGGAAAGATTTACAGGAAGGACTTGTGGATAGTTTCACAAAGGCACATATTTTTGTTCAACATAATTTAGTTTTCAGAACTATGTATTCTTTAGATCCAGGGTCTGGCATGGACTGCAGTCTTGGAGAAGGGAGGAAAACTCTAAGAATAATTTATTCATTTCTACCATTTTTCTTAAGTCTGCAAGATATCTGCAGGTTGGAGCAATATATAGGAATTAGTGATTTAACAAAAAACACAAACCATGGGGCGGCTTTTATTTTTATTTTATTTTATTATTTTTTTTGAGACAGAGTCTCACTCTTTTGCCTGGACTAGAGTGAGTGCCGTGGCGTCAGCCTAGCTCACAGCAACCTCAAACTCCTGGGCTCAAGCGATCCTTCTGCCTCAGCCTCCCGAGTAGCTGGGACTATAGGCATGCGCCACCATGCCTGGCTAATTTTTTTCTATATATTTTTAGTTGTCCGATTAATTTCTTTCTATTTTTAGTAGAGACGGGGTCTCGCTCTTGCTCAGGCTGGTTTCGAACTCCTGAGCTCAAACAGTCCGCCCGCCTCGGCCTCCCAGAGTGCTAGGATTACAGGCGTGAGCCACCGCAGCTTTTATTTTTAAAAGGAACTTTAAAGAAAAATATTTTGCTCTTTTTAAGTTTAATTTTTTCAATATCTTACATACATCTTTATTTTCACATCTTTTATTATTAGATACATTGTTGGTGTTTGTCATCTTTATATAAAATGGAATATATGATTCTGTAACAACAAACAGCTGTTTGGCAGTATTCTAAATGCTTAATTTTAACCATCACAACAACCCTACGAGGTGTATATACTGTTATCTCTGTTTTTCAAATGAGGAAACTGAGGCACAGAGAACTTAAGTTACTTGTCCATGGTCAGACAGCTAGTATGTAGCAATCCAGGCAGCCTGGCTCTGTGGTCGGCACTTGGCCCTCTGCCATCCTACCTCTCGTGAAGTAGGATGGTGGTTGATCAGAGATCCAAACATATAGGACTTAAATTTCTAACTATTGAGCTATATACTCATTTAGACGAGTGGTGCAGATTTTATTAGATCGAATCCTGGGTTAATAGAACATAGCCCATAACATAAGCTCATACCAGTTGATGTCAGAGAAACAGTTTTAAAAGTTATTTTTGGCGTTCCTTTCTAAAGCCTTTACTTTTCCCCTCTAATTATAGATCCCACCTCCAGCTGGGACCCTCATCTATCCACTGGCCGATCGCAGAGTGTCCCTACCTCCTCTCCAGAGCATCATTCCTTTGTATCTGCTGCCAGAGCCACGGTGCCATTTACTCCAAGGACTAACTTTCTAAAATTCCACACCTGGAGTGACCTCTAGTCGCTCAGCATCCACTTTATGTCTCCAAATTGTGTAGGACTGTGTAATCTTTTGATTAGTTTCTAAGAAAACACAATGAAGCATTTCACTTTTTTATCCAAAGCCATTTAATAAAATATGCAGTTGGTCAGCCCAGCCCAATGCAAAGTTCATTTCTTATCTGCCACCAGTATGCACCATTGGTTCCCTCCATTCTTTGGGCCAGCTTCTCAGGTGGCTTTGGGCTTCATCATGTCATAGCTTAGCCAGTATTCAGTCTTATTCCCCCAAATTAATAAAATGCTTTTCTCCAGGATTTTGGTGAGGGGTTGGCTGTGTCTGTGGTTTTGCTAATCCATCTCCCAGATTTCAAAGAACTACCAGTTTTGCCATAACTCAGATCTTAAGATCTATTTCTGCTATTCAGTTTCTCAAACTGAGGCTCATTAAAAAAATGTATGATGTTATTTGTTTTATTATAGCAATTATTCCTAATTAAAGCAGTATTTAATGCAATTTCCAATTATTTCCTTTGGAGAATTTTATGTTATTATTGTATTACCTTGAATTTTGGGAAGATGTGGTATGTGTTGCTTGTTCATTACAAAAATAAGTAAGCACAATAAAGTGGATGCTAAACCATCAAACACATAAATGTCCCTGCTGTGTCCCTGAATGTGTAATAAGCAAGTATAATAAATATTTTAATTATAGTTTTGTTATAAATATAACTTATGAGAAAAAATTTGATAGGACTAATACTGTATATTACTAATTTTTAACTGTCCCTCCTGGAAAACCTTATAACTCACAGAATTTCCTCCTATACAGTATTCAGTACACAGAAATCTTATGATTGGGTTAAGTACAGTAAGTTAATTTATTTCTAAGTAAAACTCCAGTCTGAGTCAATATTTCTAGCTCTCCTTCTGGCTGTTCGTTCTTAGTATCAGGGCTTCTTGCACCTTTTACTCACCTTAGGGGTTTGAGAGCGCTGTATTCCGGAGAAAGTTAAGAAATACATTGGAGAAGTGAAACAGTTAAGAGTTTTACTTTGAGATATTGTAGGTGCTAATATTGGATTTACTCTTTCAGATTTAATTTCTTTTATGGGTCTGTTAGTTACTCAACAAATCCCATAGGTTTGTGTAATATTGTGTAATTGTGTAAAAACTCTTTTGTTACTTTACAGCCTGTAATAGTGTGTCTGTCTGCCTTTTAAACCCGTTGCAATAACTTTCCTGAAATATTAACACATTAGTAAAACTTTTCTTAAACAAACTGTCTCTGTGTCATATTTGGTGTGATTTGGTAAAGTGGTAAGTGATGTGGCCTTGAATTTGGCAGATGGACACATTACCAGCATTGTAGTAGTGTAGTGTAGTACAGTATAGCTTAGTGTTTTTAAACATCTTCAATTTATATAGTATGTCACACCTCTCAATCTCTTAACTGCTTTATCTTAAAAGAGCAGATATAGTAGCATAGGTAAAAATCCAAGAACTAGTCCCTAGTGGTAAAAAATGTATTTGATCTTGGTTGGATCGTCTGATGACTCGTTTTTTTAAATGAGGTAGATTTGGAGAGAATACCAATTTGTAAGATACAGTCTATATTCTGACTTTCTCTTTTGTGAGTTTATTTTCCTATATAAAATTTTCGTGTCTTTTTCCTATCCAATGAAACTAATAATAAATAATACTCGTGTAGCCAGTAGTCAAAAAGAGGTCATAACACCCAATTACCTTCTTTCCATTTCCACCCAACCCTGGCGCCTCGCGTAAACTGAAGTCATAGTTTCTCAGGAGTAACGTGCTTTGATTTTTGTTTGTTTTATTTTAATGTCAAAGAAGGTCAGAGTATTGGTGCTATGTTGGGTTCATGTACTCACCTCCCTCCGTCTTACCAGTCTCCTCCCCCGCACCCCTCCCTGAAACAAAGGAGGCTGCAAATTCCACAAGAGCAGACATGGTTTCTCATCCTTGCGTCTTCCCCAAACTCCACGCGTCCTCATACACAGCGCTGCGCACATTCAGCGCTCACACGTTTGTAAGGTGAATACGCGAGAGCTAAGCTGACCATCGGGTCTTTAACATCAGAACGGTTACTTTGCTGTACCTGCGTTGGTAAGGTGGTTGCCTGACTTGACAGAAAGTAACTTGTGCGCTCCCTTTGTAAAGCTGCCTTCGGAAACTGGGAGAAGCTATCTGCGGCTTGTTCTCCATTCGAGTGACCTTAGCCTGGAGGCCACTCTGGAGGATTCCCGTGACCTTTCTTTTCTAGATCAAGAATCCCCAGGGAAAGCAAGGGAGTTGCATTCAAACCTCTGACAGTGGTAGGTAATGCAATAGTAAATGAACCTCCCGCTCACACTTCATCTTTTATTATTCTGTATGTCATTGACGTCACTAAAGTGTGACGTTAAATCTAGCTATGATTAAAACTGGAAAACAAAGTATATTTCTCCTTAATTCTTTTCATTTATTTAATCTTCTGATTAAAGTTTATTTTTATTTGTTTGTTTTTTTGAGACAAGGTCTCACTCTTTCGCCTGGCTAGAGTGCGGTGGCATCATCATAGCTCACTGCAACCTCAAACTCCCGGGCTCAAGCGATTCTCACTGTGTTGCCCACGCTGGTCTCCAACTCTTGAGCTCAAGTGATCTTCCCACCTCAGCCTCCCAAAGTGCTGGGATTATAGCGTGAACCACCACACCTGGCCTAAAAATTCATTTTTAGACAGTTTCCACTTTTCAGAGTTCTCTAAGAACCTAGTAAAGCATGAATAATACTTTGTACTCATTTGAGCCCTCGCTACTAAATTTCTCTATGTAAAATCAGTTACAAGAATGATACGAAAATGTGCTTGTCACTCTTAGCGGATAAAATGTATCACAGATTTATAATCTAACATCACCGGAGCCTATAGTACATATACCAGCTGAAATAGGCCAAAGTGGTCCCCATCCTCATTTGTGCTAGGTTGAAGGAAGATAAACATGAATAAATGTAACCATTACACAGTGACCAATTGCAGTCTACACATCTGTGGGTGTGAAGGGTTTTATTTTCCTTCCTCCCCAGAGCTGGAGTAAATGGTTTGATGATGGTGCTCTCCAGGACTCCAGGTCTCCAATTCAGTTTCCAGTGAGCCTTCAGGCTTGTTTGGCTCAATGGTTCCCTTGGTCCTTAGCAGGCACTATAGCCTCTGAGCTCTGCTAATTCTAGTTATACCCCCCAAAAAAGAGAGGTGAAAAATATGGAAAAATGGCTTTTTCTTGCTTACAAGTATGTGAACAGACCTCTAAAATAAATGAATTAAACTTCTAGCCTGGAAGCAACATATAACCAAAGGTAAAGTTCAGGGTCAAGCTGAATTTATCACTTAAAGTAAACATGTCTAAGATGAAGCACAGAATAACCGAGAAAATCACAATCTCACTTCTCCACAGAGGAAAGTCAAGGCACTTGCAGCCTTCACAGAGCTCCATGGGTCACATTCTAACAAGTTAGCAGCTTACAGAATGACAGCTGTTCACAGCAAGATCAGCAATAATAGACCAAATGACCCAAGCCTTCTGGTTCTTGTTTCAAAAAATACCAATAAGCAACAATTTCATGACTAGATTTCAATATTTTCACTTGAAAATATTTTCATAACTGAACATAAACTGAAAAATCTGATAATTTCTATCGCTTTGGGATACTCTAAGGGTGGAACTATTACATTATCTGTTCTGAGCTAACTTAGGAGTAATATACTCTGATAATGGCGCATGACATAGAATATAACCATCCTGTGCTCTAGCGTCTGATAGATAGAGGGAGAATGTTGAACTCAGTTCGTTAAGATGTTTACTTTCACCGGTGAAAAACCTGTAAGAAGTGTTTCAATGAAGAAACCTATACATAATGCCAGAAGGTTTTAAGATGTCATATATTTACAATTTCACAATTTTTTTCAATTAACCCAAGCCTTTATTCCTTATGATTTTAAGTACTGACATCTCAATAGATGTATAATTTATAGATGCTACATGTAGAAATGAAAGTAATAATGGTAACAATTATAATAGCTCCACCTCTATAATTCTTAATTAGAAAGTTTGGAACTTAAGAAAAATTTTATATAAATCCTACTGTGCTTTGTCAGCTCAAGAAAATCACTACCTATAGTTGCCCCTTGAACAACTCAGGGGTTAGTGGCACTGATCCCCCTGTGCCATCAAAAATTTGTATATAACTTTTGACTCCCCATAAACTTAACTACTAATAGTCTATTGTTGACCCGGAAGCCTTACGGTCACACAATCGATGAGCACATATTTTATATGTTATACGTATTTTATACTGTATTCTGAAACTAGAGAAAAGAAAATACTGTTAAGAACTATAAAGATTTATTTACTGTTCATTAAATAAAAGTGGTTCATCATAAAGGTCTTCATCCTCAGTGCCTTTACCTTGAGTAGTCTGAGGAGGAAGAGGAAGAGGAAGGGTCTTGCTGTTTCCCGTGGAGGAGGAGGAAGGGATGGCAGGAGAGGTAGGGACCCTTGGTGTAACTGTTATGGAAAAAAATCCACGTTTAAGTGGACCTGCACAATTCAAATCTGTGTTGTTCATGGGTTGACTGTATACAGATGAATCTGAACTGTAGTCTAAGAGTTGTCTCACAGAAAAAAATTATTTCAGTTTAGTCTAAAGTTCTCAGAATGGTGCCCACGTCTATGATCCGTTAACACAAAGAAAAGAAAGACGAAATGGAGGAAGACAATAAATGAAATTTTGAAGCAGGGCACATTCTTGAGCAACGTTACCCTTAGACTTTTTCTTTGACTATATTCAACCTTTTTCTATGACTATATTAAAAGAAGTTGTAAGCATTTAGAAATACTGAGTTTAGCCTGGTTTTTGTTTAGATCTTAGGACAATTGCCTCGAGTAAATTCTATGGAAAACTTCCCAGAACCTAGGCATATGAGCTTTTCATCAAAGATGCCCATGACATAAAGGCACATGTGCTTCTTTAGGGAAGGTCACCTTTCCCTTTGCATGACTCATTCAGAAAATCATTAGGAAAATCATTTTAATCACCATGCCAAATGCTATGTTGGCCAGAGTGTTTCAGATGATAGATTTAATTTTTTTTTTAATTTATGGTCATTGTATATTCTGCAACAAGCAAAGGGCACGATAGTTTTTTTTTTTTTTTTTTATCTCCTCACAGTGTTTCAGAGGATCTAGCATGAATTGCCCATCTTTTACATTTGTAAGGGGGATCCAGGCCTGGCCCTGGCCATACAGCAGTTATTGGGCTTTACCACTGGCCAGAAAAATACTTGCAAATTCACCAGCCAATAGCTTTCCTTATGAGGCTAAAAGGAAACAGTCTGAAAGCACTTTTATGCCTTCCTTAAAAATGCAAGCTGTCCTCTTTCGTCCTTTCCTATCCTTAGTCCCAATCTTCATGCATTCAGAAAAACTGGGGTTAAACTTGGCTGAACTATACACTCCCAATCTTAATGCTTTGGTCTTTAGGGTATGAGACCAAGAATGTGATGAAATTCAGAAGAAAGAAACGGTGAGGACAGCTGGTGACCAACAAGCAAGGGCAGTGATAAGAGAAAAATAATGATGGTATTACCCTATGTTTTCAAAGCATCTTTCTCAGGAAAGCTCCCAAGTCTGTATAGATACACAGTATGTATTGTCTCTTATCCTCGGTGATTAAAAGACTCTTCAGATTGCTGGGGAAGAGGCAATTTTAGGGAAGCCAGCAGTGGCACTTTGCACAGAAAACAGAGGACAGCAGAGAGGAAAGCGTCACCAATTCAGATCAGAGACGAAAAGCTGACCTCACACTAAGAGGGAAAAGATAAATGTATGTAACTTCTGTGCCTTTCCCCGACATGTCCAAGTAACTCGGGGAGGCCCTGCCGAGCACAGCGGGTGCCAGCTCGGCGGCAGCGGGGTCACCTGGCGGGCTGGGGCCGGCCACCGCCCCGGAGTCTCTGCCTGGGGAGGCCGGGCCGGCCTGAGAGCCTGCGTTCCCCGGGCTCCCAGGCGCCGCTGCGGCTGCAGGTCCGGTGCGGCGCTTCCGGGAGTGAGCACAGCCCAGGCCCGGCAGAGACCAAGGAAGCGGCGTTGACAGCCCCGCCCCGCCTGGCGGCGCCAGCCTACGCCGCGCTGAGGCGCTCGGCCAGGCCCGCAGGTTTCTGCCGCGGTGGCGAGCGCCCCCTCGCGGCCAGCCCCGGCGGTGCAGTCGGGGCTACAAGCCCCACCGGCCGGCCGGGTGGGCGAGGCTAACCCGGACCAGCCTCCCGCCCTACCCGCCTCAGGTGGGCGGGTCACGGAAGCTGCCGGGCTTTTCCCCCGGGCCGTGATTGGTTAGCGGTGCCCGTGCGCGGTGACGTTGGACCTGGACGGAAAGTTTCCGAGAGGAGCGCGGGAGCTGAGAAGCTGGCGGGTCGGGTACGCGCCTGGTAGGCCTCGAACGCGTAGTTCCGCTGCCCTCGCGCTTCCAGGAGCTCCTGGGGGGAGCTTGGCGGCTTTCCCACCAGCTTCGTGTTCTCGCCCGGCCTCTCCGGAGTTCCGCTCTGCCTGCCCGGGCCAGAGTGAGCATCCGAGCGGGACCTCTGCGGGGAGGAGGGGCGGACCTGCGTTGGTGGCTGAGAGACTGTAGGAGAGCAGAGGGAGGGATCTGCTCGCAGTGTCCCTCAGGCTCCGGGGTCTCCCCTCGGCCCCACCACCCCGCTTCCTACGCCTTTGGGGTCACCGCCTGGTTTCATGTCGCCGGGCCTGGTGGCTCTGGGAAATGGGGCATTGACTAGTTCTAGCAGCTTCAAGTGCCTGCTGTGAGCTAAGGACCGTGGCGAGTGCGGGGGCTACCCAGGTCGCTGTGGCCCCAGTACTTCGTGCCAGGCACTGAGCAGATCCGCGATTGCATTCATATTTGAACTGAAACGCACACAGCCACCGAGGGAAAGGACCTCTATTGGAGAGGCAAATATGAATAGTTATTGTTTGGTGCCAGACAGGTGCTCAGTTCGAGATGTACACCGTGGAAACAGAAGGGACGGCCTGTTTGAGAAACTGATACCTGACCTAAGCCTGGAAGGAAGAGACAAAGCACTAAAAAACTAAAGTCTGGTTCTCCAGCCACTGTCAACCGGCCTCTGCCACCCCAGTGAACCTTTCCCTGCTCCAGATACTTAGTTGCCCATTCTTGCAAACAAATGGAAAACACACTGCAGGGCTAATTGCTTCTTTTATTCTCATTAGGTTTCTGGTTTGGGGAAGATGACAGAGGAACTGGATCTCATGGGACAGGACTCTGATGGGGGTAGTGAGGAGGTGGTCCTCACACCTGCAGAGCTCATTGAAAGGCTGGAGCGGGTAAGCATTCCACGCAGAATCCCTTTGCTCCAATCTTAGCGTTTTTGTTTAGTCCATCTGTGTAAATGTCAGGGGTCAGAAGATAAGGAAATGGAATTCAAGGCATATTTCAAGAGAACAGGGACTGGATCTTACCATCTACACAGAAATAGGAAGTAAGGGAGACATCCTCCATCAGAAACCTCAAAATATCAAACAGAATCCTCCAGTGGAGTCAGTAAGGTAAGGGACAGCTTTGGGCACATGTAGAACAACTCACAGAGCAAGGATCTACTTGCTATTTGCAGGGACTGTAGAGGTGCGGTGAGACTCGTGAGTTCTATACCTTAGTCCCTGAAACATCTGCTGTTTGCCTGGAAAATGCCTTGGTTAGCAAGAAAGTGCTGAATCACTTTGAGAGTCATATTCTTCTTTTTCCTCCCATCTATTTTCTTGAGTCAACCGTTCTCTGTGTTTCCACTGCTTATCTAAAAGCATTTCTGAAGTATTTCTTTTCATAATAATAGTTGTGATTTATCGACCTTTTCCTGTGTGCCAATAACTGCGTTAAGTTCTTTTGGAGCTCTGGTGATTTAGGAGTTCATACTATCTGGACTTAGGTTTCTCCATGCCATTCCTCTATTGTGTGACCTTAAACAAGCTCTGTAGTTTGTCTCAAGCCTTTCCTTGACTATAAAATGGAGATGATAATAGTAGCTACTTCCCAGTTGTTGTAATGATTGCATGAGATAATGTATATAAAGTGCTCAGCATGTTGTCTGACATGATAAGCACTCACTAGTTACTAGTTGTTACTAGTATTAGTAATTATCCTGACTCTCTCTCATTAACTGCCCCTTTCCAGAACTCTCTCATGTTTGCTACTTTAGTATCCTTAATTCTTTATTGCCAAACATGCTAACATGAGCAACAAAACTGAAGAAAGATAATTTTTAAATTATATGATAATCCTTACGATTTAGCAGTGATTCTTAATCTGTTTTTATATCACAGACCTCTTTGAGAAGCTGGTGAAAATTCTAGTCTTCTTCCCAGAATAATGCACATATGCAGAATTTCTGGGAGTTCACAGACCCCCTGAAATCTGCCCACAGACCTAGTCTGTGGAATGCAGTTGATGAACTCCTGCTTCATTAGGAAAGGGTTCATTAAACAAAAATCATAAAGCACAAAGCATAAAGGAAAAAAACAGATACATTCAAGTACATTAAAATTAAGAACTTTTGTTTATACACCTTGATGAGAATAAAAAGAAAAGCCACCAAACTGGGAGAGGATATTTATAAAATATATAACTGGCCAAAAACAATTATTTGTAGTACATAAACAATCCTTATAGGTTGCCCAATAGAAAAATGAAGTCTTAACAGGCATCTCCCAGAAGAGGAAACCAGTATGGCCAATAAGCATATGAAAAAGATGTTCAACCTTTTTTGTAATCAGGAAAATGAAAAGTAAAGTCACGTTGAGATATCATTTCATGCCTGTCAGATTGACAGAAATGAAAAAGATGAACAATAGAAAGTATGAGAAGAATGTAGAGTAATTGTACACTTATATAATACAGTGGTGATATAAATAGGTACAATCACTTTAGAAAGTAATTGTTTAGTAAATTTGAAGGTACACATACCTTATGCCCCATAATTCTACTCCCAGGTACATACCTAGAGAAAACTTTCACGTGTACTGCAGGAGATGGGAACAGTATGTTCATGGCATTGCTTGCAATAGTTAAAAATGAAAATAACCCAGATAGCCACCAGCAATAGAATGAATTTTTTAAAATTATGATGTATACACAGGGGGGAAAAAACAGCAATGAAAATGAGTAAAACGGCTCCTGAAACAGCATGGATAACAGGCCCATAATGTAGAGCAGTAACAGCAATAAAATATGAGTTGCTTCTGCTAGTGGGTCACTGGGGCGAAAAAAACACAAGTTGCCAAAGAAACAATGTATATAAAGTTCAAACTTGCAAAACTATTGTTCGAGACATAGCTTGCCCACCTTGGGTGATGGGGCATGCTGGGTGCTGCAAACACCTCACAATGGCAACCTCTCCACCTTCTGGGACAGCCAGAGCCCTGGGCTGGTTGCTTTCCTGGGTGGGCGTCATCAGCAGTCCTCGGAAGGCAGCCTGAGGGTAGCGGGTCTGATAGACGCTATAGTGCAATGCCCTGAGTCCAGCCAAGGAGGTGAGCTACCCCCTGCACAGCCAGGTACAGACTCTTATGCTATGCAGCACAGCCTAAGGGGCAGCCTGACGGGGCCACCGTGTGGGCCAATGATGAGCACAGCTCCAGGAGCATATATAGGATACTCTTATGCCTGTAAAACATGATTTAAAAGTCATTACCTTACATGCCAAGTTTCGCATTATAATGATCGTTTTAGTTTACTGGGGCTGCAGAACAAAGGACCAAAGACTGGGTGTCTTAAACAACAGAAATTTATTTTCTCAATTCTGAGGCTAAGATCAACGCGCCAGCACAGTTGGTTTCTTCTGCGGCCTCTCTCCTTGGCTTGTAGGAGGCCGTCATCTCTTGGTGTCTCCCGTGGTCTCTCTCTGTGTATGTCTGTGTCCTAATCTCTTCTTATGAGGACACCGGTCACATTGGATTTTTGCCCAGCCTGATTGCCTCATTTTACCTTAATTATCCCTTTAAAAACCCTATCTCCATATACAGTCACATTCTGAGGTGCTGGGAGTTAGGTGCATTTTTGGAGGGGACACAATTCAGCCCATAACAATGATGAACAAATTCTCCTTACAAATTTTGATCAGGAGCCGGGCACAGTGCCTCACGCCTATAATCCCAGCACCTTGGGAGGCCAAACGGGGAGGATTGCTTGAGGCCCAGAGTTTGAGACCAGCCTAAACAACATAGGGAGACTCCATCTCTACCAAAAAAAAAAATTAGCCTATTAGCCAGGTGTGGTGTTGCATGCCTATAGTCCCAGCTACTCAGGAGGAGGCTGAGGCAGGAGGATCACTTGAGCCCAGGAGGTCGAGGCTGCAGTGAGCTATGATGATACCACTGCACGCTACCCAGGGCGACAGAGCGAGACTTTGTCTCTCAAAAAAAAAAAAAACTTTTTATCAGGAGACAGATATAGCCATTTCAAGCATAGAGCCTGATTATTTTTTAGAAGACCATGAATTAATACAAGTTTCTCACTAAAAATTTTGAAAAGATTTTATTTGAACATTTTATACTAATATACATTTTCCTCTAATGTTTTATATTTGATTATCATAAATTCATAATCTAAATGAATGATCTCCCCAAATCTCCATTTTACCCCAGTGTACCATATAAGCATTATCATTTTCTTTGAATTTCCTCTCATGAAAAGGTTGGGAAGCATTATGTACAGATATAAACAAATACAGTGAATCTATAAAGAAAATTAAACACTAAATTCAGGCCAATGATTACCTCTGAGGAGGAAAGGACACACGGGGACTTTAAAATAATGGTGATATTCCTTAATGATGTGCACACACAAGTCTTTATAGCATCGTCCTTCATGTTTAATCTGTATTTCATAAATATTTTTGTACCTATTCAATATTTAATAAAATCAGTTAAAAGGAAAAACTGCTTTTTAAGTCCTCCAGAAAATTTGATCTTTTCTCATTCTGTATTCAGGTTGTGTTTCTGGTTACTTTTTTTTTTTTGAGACAGAGTCTCATTTTGTTGCCCAGGCTAGAGTGCCGTGGCGTCAGCCTAGCTCACAGCAACCGCAAACTCCTGGGCTCGAGCGATCCTACTGCTTCAGCCTCCCGAGTAGCTGGGACTACAGGCACAGGCCACCATGCCCGGCTAATTTTTTCTATATATTTTTAGCTGTCCAATTAATTTCTTTCTATTTTTAGTAGAGACAGGGTCTCGCTCTTGCTCAGGCTGGTCTCGAACTCCTGAGCTCAAACAATCCGCCTGCCTCGGCCTCCCAGAGTGCTAGGATTACAGGCGTGAGCCACTGCGCCCGGCCCTGGTTAACTTTCTGTATCTGCAACACTGTTAGAGAAGCTCGAGCACTTGGAAGAACGTTCACAACAGTAGCAACACCCAGTATTTAACGATGTGTCTTGGCGATAACCAGAGAAGCAGAGACGCAAGGATGTCAGAAAAATCAGCGAATTCTAAGCTGTCCTAAACCTCAATTCCCTGTATTGAAAGATAAGCGCAGCTTTCCTCAGTCACACACGGATATTTCAGCTCTCTAAGCCCTGGTGATCTCTGAAACGTGCCGAGCAGCTGGGCCTGTTGCTCCCAAGCTGTGTGGTGGGTGCGCGTCACCTCTGTTGTGATCCCTTTTGCTTTGGGACTGTTAGTAAATTACCCAGTCTGTGTTTTTTCATCCATAAGGTGAAGATCACTATGTGCATTTCCTCTCAGATATTATAATGACGAGTGAAAAGTATTTGTAAAGTGCTCTGAGCTTCAGGAACGAGGAGGCGTGCGGCCTCGCGCAGTGCTGCTCCATCTCAGCGTGCTGTGGGAGCGGTGCCAGTGCCCCGGGGGCGGTGCAGGGCAGGAAGTATTAATAGAAACGTGCTGATGCCACTGGGCACAGGTGCTATTCAGACACCAGTGTGGTGCTCTCAGCAGCAGGTGTCACACGGACTACTGAAGTAAACGGTGATTTTTCTTTTTTAATGTTGGTTGAATATAAGGTTGTGAACGCAGTGTCCCCACTAAAAGAACATGAGAAAAAGCAATTGTCAACCTAGTTTGTTTTCAACGCGTTTTCGATATTTCCAGCTGGTAGGCAGACAGTTTTCTTAGCCCGGGCTGTCTGTGGTTTTCTCAGGGTTTGTGCTAACTCACAGGGTCATGTTACTCCACTGGGAGTGATGCTCATTTTTTTTCGGCATTTGTCTTTTAGGCCTGGATGAATGAAAAGTTTGCCCCGGAGCTGCTGGAGAGCAAGTGTGAGATTGTAGAATGCGTCATGGAACAGCTAGAGCACATGGTAAGAGCCGCTTGTCTCAGGGTTACCAGGAGGAGAAAGTTAAAAGCACTTGGTCAGCACAGTGAGAGGTTGTGGTCCGAGAACAAATCTGTTTTGTTTGGCTCAACCCAGTTTTTTTTTTTAATACTGAATTAGTTATCTGTATTTACGAAGCATGAGAGTTCCTATCACGTTCCTGGATATCAGCTTCCCTTGAAACGTCTAAGAACCTGCCGTCACTGGCCCCACATCTGTGTGAGGCTGCGGCAGGGTCCCTGACTACCCAGCCTTCTCTCCTACCCTACCCACTTGGCCCCTGTGGACATTGGAGTTTGTGGTCCTTGGCTTAGACGATCTGGGCTCAACTCATTATCACCTGCAGGGTGGCTTTAAAATGTTGGTACTTTACAGGTTTCCAGCTGGTGTGTTTTGTTTTGTTTTGTTTTGTTTTGAGACAGAGTCTCACTGTGTTGCCCGGGCTAGAGTGCCATATGGCATCATCCTAGCTCACAGCAACCTCAAACTCCTGGGCTCAAGCAATCCTCCTGCCTCAGCCTCCCGAGTAGCTGGGACTACAGGCATACGCCACTATGCCCGGCTAATTTTTTTTTTTTCCTATATATTTTTAGTTGTTCGATTAATTTCTTTCTAATTTTAGTAGAGACAGGGTCTCGCTCTTGCTCAGGCTGGTCTCAAACTCCTGAGCTCAAACAATCCGCCCGCCTCAGCCTCGCAGAGTGCTAGGATTACAGGCGTGAGCCACCGCGCCCGGCCTCCAGCTGGTGTTTTAACACTACTTTTCAGACCCATTAGACACTTATGTGCTCTGTATTATCTCCTTTGCAATGGGCTTGGATTGCTTCCGGGCCCTCTGGCTGAGCATATTCACATTCTACTCAAATGGTCGTTTCCTAAAAGCAAATGAGCACTGTTTGACCTTTATACAGTGAGACTGAAGTCGTATATTGTTTATGTAATTAAAAAACTAAAAGCAACGGAGAACTCTCATAGAATGAGTTTTTTCATTTTCCTTTTACTGAAATATAGTCTTTGGGTCTCAGTATTGCCAGTGATGATTGTCCTTAGTCTGTAAACATGTTTTTTATAAGCTTTAGTTTCTCTTTTAATAGGAAGAGAATCTCAGGAGAGTTAAAAAGGAGGATCTGAAGGTCAGCATCCATCGGATGGAGATGGAGAGGATCCGCTACGTCCTCAGCAGCTACTTGCGGTGTAGACTCACAAAGGTGTGGCCGGGAGCTGCCTTAGGCATTGAGGCCCTGCGGTCTGCAGTACAGACCTCACATCCTGGGGGGAGGTTGGGCTGGCCCTGGGAGGGTCCCGGGCCTGAAGATGCTGCTAGAGCCCAGTAGCAGTGTAGCTAAAGAGTGAGGAGGGCACAAGATTGTCACGGGGAAGCACAGATGGAACGTGTGTTGCCACACCCTGGGGCCACCATACACAACTTTAGTCTATTTATCTGTCATGTGAATGGTGCCCCCTGGAGTCACGACAGGGCAGTGCCGAGGGTAGAGTTGTTTGCGTTGATCGAATAGGGAATAGTGACTGGAGGAGAACTGGTTCCAAAAATTATTTTGCACCTATCAAAAGGGCGGTGTCAGTGTCAAATGGACCAGGATGACTTGGCGTTCTACTGAGCTCTGTGACCGTCTAACTTACAAAAATGGAATTGTGAAACATTCTTATTTTGTATGGTGTCTGTTTTAATCCTGGAAAATTCTTGCTTCCTTGAAGTTTCTTTCCATTTGGTTCCATTTGTCTCCTTAGTTATACAAATAAAATACATTCTCTCTTCTGAACGAGAGTGCTTCGGATACCTGAAGACAGCTCACAGGTCTCCTCGAAGTCTTCTCTCAGCTACACATTTCAGCCATTTGAATGCATGCACTGTCCTGATCTCTTCTCTAAAAAGGTTCTGGTTTGTCAGTGTCCTTCTTAAACTATACTGCTTGGACCTAAACACAGTATCCCATTGTGGTTCGGCCACTTTTATGAAAAGCAGGATGACCTCTTTCCGCCCTGCGGGGGTCGCAGTGGTGGTAGTGCCACCCACATCACAGCAGCACATTTGACGTGTGCGTCATGCTCAGTCGTTCTGCGCTCACCAGTGACCGTAACCCCTCCTGAAGCTCGGTCGTAATGACCCCATCCAGTCGCTGTCCTGTATTTACATGGCTTAGGTTTTGACCCCTAAGTGTGGGGCCCGAAACTTATCCCTCTGAAACTCCGTCTTTTTAGATTGGGCCGTTTCCCTGGTCTCTGGATCCTAATCTTGTGTATATATTAGCTATCTCTTAATACTTGATGTTTTCAGCAATTTTGGTAAACATGTCATCAAAAATCTTACCTGATTCATTAATCAGACGGGCGCAACAATAAGAGAATTTCACCAGAGACTTCCCTGCAGATTGATGTCCACCCATTGAGTCAACATTTTGTGTTCAGCCATTTGTGAATCTCCCAGTCTCTACTGTCCCCCAGCCCCAGCCTTGCCGACACAGAGGTTGTGACACAAAGGTTTGTGACACAAGGGTGTCACAGAGACGTGGTCACATGTCTTACAGCATGCCTCTCCACCCCATCCCCAGCTGCAGGCCACATACCTTCTCGGGGAGGTGGGGATTGGGTAAGCCGTCTTCTTCATGTTAACCATGTCCTTTTCTTTGACAGCAGTTTTCATGATGGTTTTTATCCTCACAGATAGAGAAGTTTTTCCCTCATATCCTTGAGAAGGAGAAAACGCGCCCTGAGGGGGAGCCTTCCAGCCTTTCTCCAGAGGAGTTTGCCTTCGCCAGAGAGTAAGTAAGCAGTAAGTGTGGGGCTGCCTTCCCCGGGCTGGTGAGCCCAAGCCTGGGTGGCTACACCGGGAAGCCCGGCTCAGCCCCGTCCGCTGTGGTCTCACAGCCCTGGCGACTGCCACCGGTCAGTTGTGCCACAGCAGTTTGAATTTACGTCTTTCAGGTACATGGCTAACACGGAGACCTACCTCAAAAATGTCGCCTTAAAGCATATGCCTCCTAACCTACAGAAGGTGGACCTCCTGAGGTCGGGTAAGCAGCGCATCCTCTCTTCAGATGTCCGCGGGAGCGTTTCTCACGGCCCACGTGTCCTCAGCTGCCTCAGAGCAGCAGCTCCATCTTCACTCTTTTTTTTTCTTCCGTCAAATATGGAAAGCAAATATGTAGATAGTCAGAAAAAAGAAAAGAAGGGTTCTGGTTTTAAAAAAATCATTAAGAACAGACACAAAAATAGCCGTTTTAGCATTACCTTTGTGTTCTTCAGTTCAGTCGACTCTCAGGACTGCCATTATAAACATAGACTCTCGCGGATTCGGCCTTTCGTCCTCCCACAGCCGTCTCCTGAGGTCTGCGCCGCCGTGCTGGGTGTTCTAAGCACTGACCTGCAGTGCTCAGCCTTGCCTCTGCTCTCAGGGCGGCAGCCTCTTGCCCACAGGTTCCTGGATGGAGCTGGAGGGGAGGGAAACCTCCAGTGAGTACTGTTGCCTCGAGTAAGGGCTCCTGATCTTTTTGTCGTGGGGAGTTTCTCTGGTTTGGGAAGGGGGCAGGATGGAGAGAGTCGGGGGAGAAAGCGACAGCAGCGGGAAGGGAACCGCAGCCAAAGCCCCTGCCTCGGGCCCCTCTCTCGCTGTCCCTGAGGTCTGCTGAGCTGGGGGCAGGGGTAGGGTCGGAGTGCCTACGGTGCGTCGACCACCTGGGGCCCTCCGGCTCATAGGTCGAAGTCCCCGTTCCTCAGTCTTGTGCAGTTTGCCACATCCAAGCAAGGCCTTGTCAGGCAGTATTTCTAGACCAAATTAAACAGTTCTCCAGGAGACTGGAATCCACCTTACTCACAAGCTAAGCTGGGTGTGCTGCGTCCTTAAGCTCAAGTACAGCTGAGCCCTGGAAGTTCGCCTCTGCCCCAGCCTGGACTTAGGGGCAGGGGCCGCACAGGGACCCCCGCGGTGGCGGCCCAGCGTCTGAGCCCAGCAGGCTGCGCACGGTTCTGGAGGTGGGAAGTCCGGGGTGAAGGCATCAGCCGGGTTGGTGTATGAGAGCCTGTTCCCCATAGACGGCATCTTCTGTGTGTCCTCACACGGGGTCGCTAATCCCATCCTCTGTGTGTCCTACTCTCTTATAAGGACACCAGTCAGATTGGATTAGGGCCTGCCCTAATGGCCTCATTTTAGCTCGATCACCTCTTTTAAAGCCTTGTCGCCCAACGCAGCCCTATTCTGAGTTACTAGGAGTAGGGCTTCAAGGTATAGATTTGGGGGGACACAATTTAGCCCGTAACCCCAGGAGCAAGCCAGACCCGTGCTAGTTCTGTGGGACCCGGAGCTGGTCATTTTGCTGAGCCTGCCTGCGGAGAACAAAAGGCCCAGTCCACGTCCGCTCCTGCCTGTGGTCAGCCGCTTCATCTGTACCGTGGAAGACAGGAATGGAGCCAGGGCTGTGTCCCTAACCATTTCCCAGTGCGTTCTCATCGGGTGACTCAGCCCCAGGACTGCTGGTGGGCATACATATGGTTCCTGGAACGGGCTGGGCCACTGTCCCAGAGCCCACCTGACGAAGGTCCACACCTCCCCAAACACTCACCTGTGGCTTGTCCTGGATCCCTCCAGGGCGGAGAGCCAGACTCCTGGAATCGGAAGCTGCATGGTGGGACTAGCCTGCCCTCGTGGAACCAGGGGCTTCCTTGGTTGGCCAGATGCCGCGAGTGCCCTAGGCCTCTGGAGCGTCGGAGACCCCAGTGGCGGGGTCGGGGGGGGCAGTGCATTGAAACCCAGGCTGCTACCAGTGAGGCTAGAGGCTAGAGGACTCTGGTGATGTCGGAGTTTCTGACGGGCTCGGAGCCCTAGAGCAGCCCAGGGGACCCTCGTTAGACCCTTGGAGCCAGTTATCCTGAACCCCTCCCTGTAGATTAGGGAGCCCAGGGTTCTCTAGGTACAGATGGGCCTCCAGGGGGTGGCAGGCTGTCACGGAGCAGCCCAGCGTGGGCCCTCACTAACTGAAGTGTTGGCTGCTGACAGCAGTTCCTGAACCTGTAACTGACCCGTGAGGGACCACGTACAGGCTTAAACCTGTGTTCCTCAGTCTGACGCATTCAGGGCTGTCACCGTGTGACCCAGTCTGTCTAATACTCTCTCCTGCTACTCCATCACGGAAAAGTTTTCCTAACCGCATCCATACAGCGTCCTCCTCAAACGTCATGCGTGTTTCTACCTCGGCCCGTGCATTTATCACTTCCCCCTCGCTTCTCCCTGTGAGTCCGCCCTCTCCTTCAGAGCCACCACTGAGTGCAAGGCTGTGTCCACTGCCACCGGGTCACAGCCTCATCCGCAGAGGCTGCTGCACGCTGGTTCTTGTCCTCCAGAGTGTCAGAGTTCCCTGCACATAGCAGGTACTCATCGTCTGTTGAACACGTGGTGCTAGAAGGAGCCAGGCCTCGCCTCCCGTCACCCTCCCCAAATGCTCTTACATCAGAGGTCCCTTCGTGTTCATTACCATTAATCCCAGCAACTTTTCCCATACTGACCTTGGAAGCTGAGCATTTCCTGATACTATTGTTTTTCTGGCAGTTCCCAAACCAGATCTAGATTCCTATGTGTTTCTGAGAGTCAGAGAACGACAAGAAAACATACTGGTAGAACCAGAAACAGATGAGCAGAGGTGAGTTATGTGCGTGTCTTCCACAGTGGGGACATTCCTCCCAGTGGGGACCAGCCAAGCTCTGCAAATAAATCTTTTTTCCTCTTTTCCAGGGACTACGTGATTGACCTGGAGAAGGGCTCGCAGCACTTGATCCGATATAAAACCATTGCACCTCTGGTTGCTTCTGGAGCCGTACAGCTAATTTAAAACTAAAAATAAACAAGAATGAAGACACGGAAGCTTAGGGAAAATATTAGAAACCCCTCGAATCATTTTGTGCCTGAGGACAATGAGGAAGTAGTTCTGACATCACACTTTTCCTGGCAGTGCTATGGATTACTTGGGCATTGAAAAGGAGCTCAAGGCAGGGTTCCTCCTTTCTGCCGTGCCAGCCGGCATCAGCAGATGGGGCCACTGCTCCGCCTGTCGTGCACACTGCGCCGCTGAATGGAGACTGGCGCTTTGCGCACCTTTTCCCTTCACGGTACTTTCCCAGCTAAGGAAAGTAAAGCAAAGGTAGTTCATGAAAGGCCTCGCTGCCTGTGATCGGGTGACTGTATTTAGCCCTAACCTGGTGATAGTAGGAGAGTTCAGTTAACCTTTCTGATAGGAAGACTGTAAATAGATTAAAGGAAGCATCTGTGGCTTTCTGTAATACATCATTGGATTGTGTGAACTAACCTTTGGGATCCTCTAATACTGGACTGAAAACCAATTTCTGTCATGCTTAACTGAAAATCACAACTAAACCAATAAACCATTATTAAATTCGGTTTGGTGGCAGAAGGCGCCTCCAGGCAGTTCTCAGCTTGTAGTCTAATGACGTACGTTCTCCCCGCTGTTCACCTGCAGTGACCTGGCTCTCGGGCAGCTTCGCCAAGCCAGCCTCCAGGCCATCTGGCCATCCCTGGGCGATGTCACTTCCGTGTTGTGACCTCTCGAGCTGCGTTTCCCTTCTAAGCCCTTCGCTTTTTCAAGGGAAACGGCTGGCGCGAATCTGCTGTGAGACCTAAAGGAAGGACATGTAGACAGCGGATGAATTATCGTCCCTTGAAACGTAATGAAAAGCAAGCTGTGTTCCATTCTTTTCTTGCTTGATGAGAAGTCAGCAGATTTTCACTTACAAGATACAGGCCGTGGGAGTAATCAGTGTAACATTGCTGTCAATTCCATGAGAAGCCAGTAGGTGAAAGCCAGGAAGGTTTTATTTGTTGATGAAAGGATTTGGTATTTGTGCAGTGCCTTGCTTTTTCCAGAGTGTCTTCGCCGTCCTCCGTTGCTCATTAAGCAGCTGCGTATGAGCATCCGTGCACCAGGCACAGTGCAAGGCAGTGGGGCTGCGCCGAGAGCAGGACAGTCACTGTCCCCACTCAGGTAGAGTGAAAAGTGCTTTGCAGAGGATGAGAGCAGGATGACTGTGTTAGTTCATTTTGCTTTATAAAGAAAATACCTGAGGCTGGGTAATCTATAAAGAAGAGAGGTTTGTTCAGCCCAGGGTTCTGCAGCTTGTACAAGAAGCCTTGTGGAAGAAGCCTCTTGCCAGCATCTGCTGGTGAGGGCTTCAGGGAGCTTCCCGTCCAGGCGGAAGGTGAAGGGGGAGCAGATGGGTCACATGGTGAGAGAAGCAAAAGAGGGGAGGCAGGCTCCTTTGAACAGCCAGCTCTCTGTGAACTAATAAAGTGAGAACTCTCTCCTTATGGTGGGGAGGGCACCAAGCCATTCATGAGGGATCCGCCCCCATGACCCAAACACCTCCCACCCGGCCCCACCTCCAACACAGGGATCAGATTGCAGCATCAGATTGGAGGGGCCAAACATCCAAACCACATCACTGACTTACCAGAGAGACTCGACTGAGGGTTCTGGGAGGGCCTCACTGGAGAGAGAACATTTAGACTGAGATCTGAGTAACAGGAAGGACATGCAGAGATCAAAAGAGCATTCCAGGTAGCAAAGACAGCTTGTGCAAAGGCCATGAGGCAGAAACAAGCTCCGCCTGCAGTCAGTGTGGCTAGTGGTGCAGGGTGAGGTCACTTAGGCCCTTGTTAGCAAGGATCCCATTTGGTCCTCACAGCAGTCCTGAGACTAGGCTGGGCTGGTGTATGTAAATGGTAGAACCAAAGCGATACTTAGTGGAAGTCTAAGATCAGAACACAAGTCTCCTTCCTCCCAGTCAGGCTCTCTCACTGTGTGTGAAGCAGCCAGAAGAGAAGAGACCTGGCTAGAATCAAGGACTGGAAAAATGAAAAATAGAACAGTGCTTTCTTAAACTTAAGTGTGCATACCAATAACCCCGAGAGCCCAGTAAAATATGGATTCTGACTCGGGGCCTGGAGTAGGGCTCACGGTTTTGCATTTCTGGGGATCCCCGAGGTTGTGCAGTTGCTGCCAGCCCAGGACACATGGAGTGGCAGGGCTGTGTCCCCATGTCTCCAGCGGCTCCCTGGGTGCCAGCTGCTCGGAAGCGTTTACGTTCTCTGCTAAAGCCACAGGATGGATTGCTCCATTTCGTCAGCTACCTCTGCAAAGGAAGACTGGTTTAGATACGTCGCTTTTAAATGAAGGGGAAGTTGAATTTCAAAACCAAGTAGAAGGGAAATGATGTGGCTTGGTCGACTTTGATTTTAACTTTGCAGTTATGGTGAGTATTTTGCTTTTTTGTTAAAAACTCACCACCGATGCATGACAGAACATTTCATCTAATACTGGCATCGTCCTTTAGCAAAGCTTGTCCCTAGCAAGACAGCTGCTCCTGAGAAGTGTTTGCAGGTCCATGTATGGGTTTTTCCCATCACAAGTGATCACCTGTCAGCGGTGTTCACTCTGCCCAGGACCCAGCAGTCAACGTGGCTTTAGTGCCACCCTCAGATGCATCGAACTTCCTTCTGTCATATACGAGAGTTAACCTTGAAGCTTTCAGAGTATATTTTTAAGCAAACACATTATATATAAATTCTTTATATAGCATTCTTTAAGTAATTTATCTTGGGAAGCCAAACATTCCAAACCATTGGAATTCTAAGAATTGATTTTTTAAATGTAGCTAATCAATTAGCTGTGAAAGTACTCTCATTGTCAAAAAAAAAAAAAAACCTTCAATTTTAAAAAAAACAAAATAAGTAATCTGTACTTATTTAACACATTTGGTTTCAAATACCTTGGCTGTTTCCAAAAAATTGGATATTCCTTCCACAGCTGAAAAATAGCTACTGGGAGAATTCAAGGAATATACTGGGGATTCTGAAGGCAATAATAATGTTTAATGTTTACCAAGTGTTTACCATGCATCAGGCTGTTCTCTAAGTAGATTAACTTATAAATCTTATAGCTACCCTCCGCAAGGAAAAATCTGAGATTTTGGAATGGGCAAAAGAGATTATCATTTCGATGGAATGCTTGGTCCCTGTAGGGTATGTACCCATGTCTTTGAATAGGTTATTTTACAACTCTGCAGAGGTACAAGTTGACTTATAGGAAACGTATAATAATGTGAATATCTCCAGTCTTGCTATGCAAATGGTTCCTGTCCGTGACAACACAAGTGAATTTTGTCCTATTGAGAGTAAAGTCAAATGCCCATTGGCACGGGTTTTAACATTTCTCTGGTTCTTTCATGAAATAGTAAGTTAAATAAAATCTTTGGCACATGTTCCTTTCATATCTGTATGAGAGTCAATAGTACCTACCCTATAGGTGTTAACGAACAAATTTTAAATGTATATGATTATTTGTAAGGTAGGTACTGTTGAGAACCCCATTTTACAGATGAGAAAACAGATTCCTCTGGTGAAGGCCACATAGCTACTAAGTGGAGATGTCACCAAACCTCAGTGAGCCCAGAGCTCGAGTCCGTCCTGTTCACCATCTTGCCAGTGCTGTCTCCTACGAAAGGAAGGAGGATCTAAAAGTGTTTTGAGCAATGACAGCCTCTCTGGAATAAATTCTCATCTTCCAAAAAGAGCCATCTGAGGGAATAACCACTACCATTTACCTTACTTTTCTCAACACTGGAGTTCGAGGTTACAATGAGCTGGGATTGCACCGTTGCACTGCAGCCTGGGTGACAGAGACGGCCCCTGTCTCTTAAATAAAAATAAAAAGGATAAAAGTAAATCACTGTTTTTGCCCCCAAGAAATTGACGATCAATCCTAAGAGTATGCCTTGGGTAAATCTGAAAATTTGAAATTGTTTGACTCAGAAAGAAATTTCTTAATAGCCAGGACTAAGAAGGTTGAAAGGAAATTATTTTCTTGGGTTCAAAGCTTTGCATATGAGAGAATGTTTTAAGCCTCTTACGCGGGATATTCCTGGGGACCCAAAGTTGTTCCCAGCTCAAATGTAAATTTTTTGAAACTTCAGTTTGCTGCTTCCGTTCTCTCTGCATCTGTAATTTTCCTTAAGCAGAATTCTCACCATCTCCTTCCCCTCTTAAAAAGCGTCAGTGGAAGCAGAACAGGAAAGAGTAAAGGATATGGACCCTGATCTGCGTCCTAGACGGGCAGATTGCTCCCCTCGAACCTCCTCGTTCAACCATCATAACAACCCTGTGAGGAAAACTCCACCTCAAAAAGAAATTGCCCCGTCTTTTCCCCTAGTTTCTAATCTTTTTATTCCTACAGTTTTACGATTTTATCTTTATTGAAATCCCACTACAATTCTTTGGGGAATTAAGTGAGGTGTGCAGAGCTTCACACCTGGGACGCGGAGTGAACAGGCCCACACAGGCCCCGCGTGCTGTGGCGAACGTCCAGAACAGGTCCAGGTCGCGAGAACAACGTAATGGAAAATGGCGTCTGCCACGTCTAACTTCGTTTGTTACCAAACACAGCGTGTGCCCTCCACCTCCAGCCAGGTCTGAGTGAGACGCCTCATTGTTATGATAGATCATCCGCGTTGCTGTCTTCTGGCCTCTGGAGCTTTTGACCTCCAACGACAGTAGGAGGCGTCTGCACTCTGTCCTCTTCCCTGCGCTCAGCTGCGAGGAGGCTGCTGCCCACGGTTTTGTCAACAGCTTGACAAATGAGGCGAGAGCCCAGGGACTGTTGTGTCCGTTTCTCTTGGTTCCCCAAGTTTTGTTTCTGTATCAAACTTGATCCACAAACCAGTATCCCTGGATTAATGTCTGAGTTCCTTGCTTTTAGCAGAGAAACAACCACATGAATAACATCTCCATGTCTTCTAAAAGTTATTAGTACTCCTGAAGACATTATTAATTACACATCAATTGTTTTCTACATGAGGATCCATGTGATCAGTTTTTCTCAGCATTTAAATAAAAGTTTGTCTCAAACTTTATGCCCCATTTTATCAGACAAGTGGGTCCTGCTGGTCCCCGCTTCGCACCTCCCCACCGGGGACCCCAGAGCCTCTTAGTGCACTCATTGCCTCCCCCAGGTCCCCGTGTCTTTCCTTAAACAGTTTCTGGTCTCCTTTTTATACCTACAGTTTTACTGTGCTAGTTTGCCTTAATTTTAAAAGCTACCCTAAACGGGGGCAGAACTGAGTAAAGGATAAATAAGTACATATTGGTAATTTGGACAAATTAGTAACATCTAGTTCCCACTTAGTGAAGCGTGCGTGGGAATGAGTAATTCATGCGCCCTCTCACCGAATACAAATCCCTAAGTGAGGCACATGGAAGGTGACAAAGGCACGAGCTGTAGTGTCCTGTCACTGAAGCACTTTTATGAAACAGTGACAAGGTCAGGTAAATGACACAGTCAAAACAGCA